GTCGGGGCTGTGCCAAGCCCATGCTTGGCTGCCAGGCCCTCTGGGGGTCCTGGTGCGCTGCTGGTGATCTTGGAGCAGGAGATGTGGATGTCCAGGGAAGACTGCTCGCAGCTGGCCACCCCCAGATGTGTGTCCCTGGAAGTAGCTGTTCAGCGATGGTGGGGGTGGCCAGGGAAGGCAGGGCTGCCATGGCTACCTCCTCCTGATGGTTGTGGGAGCCGACTGGCCCTGCCAGGCCTCTGCCTGCTTCTGTGCAATCTAGACCTCTGTCATGTCCACTGCACAGAAGAGCGAGGTGAGGCGGAAGCTGCAGCAGGCCCGGTGCCCCAGCAATGGGACATGTTCAGCCCAGATCTGAGCTCAAGAGCCCTGTCTTCTCCCTGCTTGGGCTGGGAGTCTATCCACTGACTACTGAGCTGTGAAGGGGCCCCACCCCCGGTCCCCTGGGCTCGGCGGACCTGTGCCCTGGGGATGGCTGCTGAGGCTGTGTCTTGGTGACAGGGCCCCAGGGGAGAACTACCAGCACTTGCTGGCCCGAGATGTGGGGCTGCCTCTGTGCCAGGCCCTGGTGGAGACTGAGAACGGGAACCCAGACCGCGCCCTGGAGCTGCTGCTGCCTATCCGCTACCGCATCGTTGAGATTGGCGGCAGCAACGCCCAGGTGAGCCAGGCCATTGCGTGCCCTGTGGCGCCTGCACCCAGGAGATGGTGTCTCCCCCCTTACCCCCCCGGGTGTGCGCCAGCGGTGCCCTGGGCTGCTGTGGCGCCTGCGTCTCACCTACCGTACCTGTGCCTAACTTGCCTTCCTGCCATTGCAGAGAGACGTCTTCAGCCAGTTAGTGATTCATGCAGCCCTCAACTGCACATCCAGGGCAAACAAGAATGTAGCCCGGTGAGCACCTGCCCCTCCTACCGCCGGCCTCGGGAGGGGTCCCAGGACATGGCTGCCCTGTGGGAGTGCCCGAGGCTCCACAGCCTCTGGATTGGCATGGTGAAAAGGCATGGTGAAAGGAGAATGTGCGTGTTCTTTGTCAGCAAGCTCAGCTGGACCTAAGGAAGCCAGCCAGCCTCCACCCAGAGCCCACAGGCCTGCCTCCCAGCCCACTTTCCGTTTTCATTCAGCTGAGTTATAGGGATGGCCAAACATATCTTGCTCTTCCAGGACCCCAACAAACCCCCCTTCGCTCCACCCGCCTTCCTGCCCTCCACAGAGTGGTTTAGCTGACAAGGATTGTCTCCCAGTCGGAAGGCTGGAATGTCAGGGATGGCAAGCAGGGTTGGGTCTCTGGTGAAGGTTCTCTTCTCTTGGCTTGCAGACAGCCACTTTCTTGCTGTGTCATTGTGCTGGGAGCACTCAAAGCAAATCCTTCCAGGGCGCTCATCCCATGGCAAGATCCCCACCCTGGGGACCTACCCACTTCTCAAAGACTCCAACTCCTGGCAGTAGCACCTCGTGGGGGACGTGGGTGTGGGAAGAGGCACCAGCATGCAGGCCAAAGTCTCCCACAGCCCGTCTTCAGGTGTGAGGTCCCTGCTCTTCTGCCACTTTCTTTCACCACAGCAGTGTCACTTTCTGCCCCCAACTGCATCTCCTGTCCCTTTTTTGTTTTCTGTGTGCTGGTACTGGGGCTCGAGCTCTGGGCCTCCTCCTCTCACTTTCCACTCAAGGTGGGACCTTTACTGCTTGAGGCATACTTCATTTATGGCATTTTGCTGGTTAATTGGAGATATGTGTCTCAGATTGTCTGTTGAGCTGCTTTGAACTTGATGCTCACATCCCAGCCTCTTGGAGAGCTAAGATTACAGGTGTGGTCCCCAGTACCCAGCCTCATCCTTCTTGTCTTCAGTATGGGGCTGTGGCAGGTGGATGAGCTACAAGACCTAGAGGCACTGGGTCCACAAGGTGGACAGGACCACATGAAACCTCCTGCTAGAAGTGCCCCCATATCGTTGTGGAAGGTTCCATAACAGAGCCTCTGTGTGTTTCCTTAGGAGTCTTCTGATGGAGCGTGATGCCCTGAAGCCCAACTCGCCACTGACTGAGAGACTCATCCGGAAGGCGAAGGCCGTCCACCTCATGCTGTGACCCAGGCCAGGGCTGGCCTCTGGCCTTCCCAGCATTCCTTCTGCTTCTGCTGGATTCGGGCTAGAAGAAAGCTGGGGCTCCTTGCTAGGCTTGTTAGCGGGTAAAGTTCACCTTCAGTTAATTTAGAATAGGATTCTGAAATTCCTCCCAGGCCTTGCCCAAGGTTCATGTGCATTTTTGAGGCTCTAGAAACAACTGGGGTTTCTGATTGTTGTTTGCAATTGCCTTTCAAGTGTCCTCCTACTGGCGCACCTCATTTCCTTGGTGGTCAAGGAATGGAAGGCAGGGCCCAGGTGGCTGGCTTAGCTGGGGAACCCCTACAGGAAGCTCCCCCACCTGGCTGCCCCTTACCCAGCAGGCAGAGGACAAACCCTGCCATTTTTTCTTGTATTCCACAGGGGCCTGTGGTCTCAGAGGGGAGGGAGGATACTGGTGCGGACATGGGCTCCATGAACGCATAGCCCTCTATCCTTTCCCCAAGTGACCTTACCTCTCTGCCTTTTGCCTCAGCCCCTGCCTTCTACCTTCACCATTTTCCAGAAGGTTCCTGCTCTCTCTAGAGGACATTGTAAGTCTCTCTGGGAGCTTGAGCGGTGTGATTTAAGAATGTGTGTGTGTGTGTGTGTGTGTGTGTGTGTGTGTTGGTAGTGGGGCTTGAACTCAGGGGCCAGGCTTTTTCAGTCACGTGTGGTGCTCTGGCACTTGAGACACACCTCCACTTCTAGCTTTTTGCTAGTTAATTGGAGATCAAGGCCTTAATGAGACTGCTTTTGCTCCGGCTGGCTTCAAACCACAGTCCTCAGATCTTGGCCTTGTGAGTAGCTTTGAGTCCAGGCATGAGCCCCTGGAGCCTGGCTCTTGTTTCTTCTTTTCAAAGGCACATGGGGTGAGTATGGGATCAAGGTCTGGGGGAGATGGCTTCCTTTCTGATTCTAATCATACACGTGGATAGAAGACTGAACTCAGGGCTACTCTGTTGGGGAAACCAGAGTGCTGACCGCATGCTGCAACTTGGATTAAACTCAAAAGCTGCCTGTGTCTGTCTCCTTCTTCCCCCTGTGCACCTCCACGTCCAGTGGGGCCCACCGTTCCCTCCCAAGTCCAGTAGTTCTGTCCTGAGGACCTCAGCCTTGAGGGTGCATGGGGGGGGAGGTGCGGGGGCCTCTGAGCAAAGATGTTTTTCAAGTTCTTTCTGTTCTTGCTGGCTCTGGGTGGAGAGTGAACTGGTTATCAAGGGTGGAGGGAAGACCATTAAACCCATGAGATCTCTGCATTGTGTCCAAGCTTGGGAAACTTCCTGAGATTAAAATAAATATATGAGCTCCTTTCACTACACACTGCTGTGGGTTTCTCTCACCTGGGGCAGTAAACCAAGTGAGTACTTAGTTATTCTAGCATTTTCAAAGCATGCTAAAGACAGCACCCAGTGGTAGCTGCCTCAGGGTCTTTGGAACTGTAGCCAAGTACAACTTGATTTGGGCAAGGGAATGGAAGCCCTGCCCTTCCAGGAAGCCTTTCCTCCTCCTCCCTCCCGTGCCCACTGGAGAGGCTATCCTCTCTGCCCCTCAGCCCTTGGCACCTACCCGGCCCTCTCCCCGGCCCCTCTCCTCTGTGCCTGAACTCCTGCTGTCCCAATGCAGGAATCCTCCTTGGCCTGGGAAAGGCCCATGAATGAAAAGGAGGAAAAAGCCAGGTGCCTGTGACTCAAGCCTGTAATCCTATCTACTGAGGAGGCTGGCTCTGAGGAGCCCCTGTTCCAGGAAAGTCTGTGAGACTCAGCTCCAAGGAACCTGGAAAAAGCCAGAAGTGACATTATGGCTCCAGTGTAGAGTGCCCACCTCAAGCAGAAAAGCTCAAGGGTAATCTGCAGACCCTGAAGTCAAGTCCCAGGACTAGCTTGGTGCACACAGGCACAAGAGAGAGAATAGAGTGAAGATAACATTAAGGTAGCAGCACTGATGAATAATTATGGGCTGCTTGTTTGCAAGACAAGAGGCGTTGGGGACCTGGTCCTCAGCAAACACAGACTCACACAGGCACAAGAGAGGCAGAGGAATGATAAGATTAGTGTAGCAGCTGCAAGTTAATCATGGGCTGCTTGTTCCCTAGACACTATTTGTGCAGGGAGGAATCAGGAGAGGGGACTGGCCCTCTGCAAACATGCTCAGAGCTGCAGGGGTTCAGCACCTGGAAAGCAGGGGAGGAATGAGACCCAGAGTCTGGGACCTTGGGTGTTTGCACATGGCCCTTGGCCCCTCCCTCCCTCCTTCCCCTCCACTAGCAAGCCCACCTAGCCTTTGCAATCCCAGATTCAGTGCAGGTGATGGTCACCAACCCTAGCTGGTGAGCCCCAGGGCAGGAGCCAGCCTTAGCAGAGCAAGTGCCCGGAGAGTGAAGAGGTGCCCGGGAGGCCCCACCCCGAGCTTGAGCGCCTTTCCCCCTGGGCCTCCTGGCACCAGCACTCCACCCCTCTGGCTTCTGTGACTTGAGCTCGAAAGGCTCCTGACCGATCACTTGCGACGGGACGTGTCGTCGGGTCTAACGGTGCCCTTGCCCTTCCCCAGTTCAAGAAGCCACTGAGCCAAAAGGAAGTTTCCAGAGCCCCAGCTCAGAGGCCTTGTCTGCAGGGAGGGGGGGTCATGGAGGCGGGGAGGTCAGGCCGCGGAAAGGCACACTGGGGATGCTGAGCAAGGAAGGCGGCGGGCACTGGTCAGGCCAGGCGGCTCTTCCCCAGCGGCTGACCGGCCCGCTGACCGGGGGTGCGGCCAGGCCCGGGAGGCCGGCGCTCCCGCGAGGCACTGCGCGTGCGCTCGACGCCCTTCCGGGAGCGCTGACTACAAACCCCAGGGTGCTCCGGGCCGGGCCGCTCTTCAAACCCACCAATCAGCGTCCCGCGCCGAGTTCAAACCTGGGAGGAGGCGCAGCCGGCGTCCCGGGCGGGCGGTGAGGTAGGGGCAAGGGCAGTTGCGGGGCGGGCGGCGCCGAGCGGGGCCTGAGGGGCTGCGGGGGGCGCTGGGCCGGTCGTCGTCGGCCAGGGAAGGCAGCGCTCCTCCGGAGCCGGGCCTGGGCTCCCACGGGCGGGGACGCGGAGGGCCGGCTCGCTCCGCGGCGCCCCCGGTTTTCCGTTATCCGCCCCGGTCGGGCCTGACGAGAGCCCCCCGCCCCGCCCGGCGTGGGGGCAGCGAGAGGCGACCCCGAGTCCGGCCGCGCGGCTCCGGGGGCCCTCGGCCGTGGCCGGCCTGGACGCGTGTGCGGCCCGGGCCGCCGCTCCCCTGCGCGGCCCCGGCCCCGGCCGCGGCCCCGCTCACCCTCGGGCCCCTTCCTCCCGCAGCGACCCCGGACGGCCGCCAGGCGAAGATGGACGTTGGTCCGAAAGAAGGTGAGGCCCGTCGGTGGCCGCCGCGGGGCGGTCCCGAGCCCGGGGCCGAGACGGAGAGGCTGGCTCCCGAGGACCCGAGCTCCGCCCCGGACCCAGCGCTGCCCGCGTGCGCCGGCCCGGCCCGACCCAGGCCCCCGCGGCGGCCTTCCCGCCGGTGGCCCCGCCCCGGGCCTGCGGGACGGATACTTGAGGAGCCGCCTTCGTGTTGTCCTGTTGGTTTGTCGCTCGCTCGTTGGCAAAGCCCTGGCGTGGGGCTGTGGGGCTCTGTGAGTGAACTGGCCTGGTTCTTCGCTGCCTCCATGTGGGGTTGGTAATTGTTAGGTCTTTAAAAAGAGGTTGCTAGTAAGAACCACACCAAGCTCGTGACATTCAGATAATACGTAGGTTTATTCAGTAGACCTGCTTGGACCAGGCCAGTTGGGCTAAGAGGGGATCTAGTCCTGGGCTAGGCCTTATCTAGGGTATTGGTGGGGAAAGGTGTGGCCAGGTAAAGGGAAGTGGACCTGGTGGTGGAAAGGTGTGGCCACATCAAATCCGGATGGGACCTCAGTGGAAGAGGGTGTGACCTCTTCCAGGTGTGCCAGTTGCCTAGGTAACACAGGTACTGGGTGGGGTCTGCTGGCCATGCAGGAGTGGACCTTACATTCTAGCCTTTTAATAATCATGAAACATGGCACAGATTCTCTCTGGCTACTTCTTGTTTACAAGTGGGTGTAGACATTAGGGGTAAAAGGCCTGTATGTGGTCCCCTCCCAGAGAAGGCAGAGAGCAGCAGTTGTCCCTTGGTAGGTGTGAATCCTTAGGTGATGTCTGCCGGAAGCGAGTCTCTTGGATGAAGTCTGGAGGAAGTCGTCTCAGGCAGGGGGCTGGACAAAGATGAAAAGGAAAAACATTGCTGAAAATATTGGATGTCCATGGCTTGGAGGTGGCCTAAGGGATGAGGTAGTGAGGTGTGTGAAGAGGAGAGCATTTAGCTCAGTGCTACACACCCCAATCTTCAGGCATGGGAGATAGCCTTACCTTGGTAGGCCCAAGAGGGGAAAAGGTGTACCTGGAAGTCAGTGTTGGTATGGAAATGGTAGGAGCCGGGTGCCGGTGGCTCATGCCTCTAATTCTAGCTGCTCTGGAGGCTGAGATATGAGGATCGTGGTTCAAAGCCAGCCCGGGCGGGAACGTCCAGGAGACTCTTATCTCCAATAATCCACTTGAAAACCAGAAGCGGCACTGTGGCTCAAGTGGTAGAGCACTGGCCTTGAGCTGAAGAGCTGAGGGACAGCGCCCAAGCCCAGAGTTCAAGTCCCACGACTGACCAAAAAAAAAAAAAGAAATGGCAGGAGCAGGAGCCTTTTTTATTCTTGACAGATGGATCCACTGTGGCTGTCCCTTGAGCTTGACTGCTGTGGGGGTGGTCAGCAGAACCTGGTGAGGGCCTGTTCACTTAGGGCGTAAACCAGATGGATTAAGGGTCTTGAGAAACACTTGATTGCCAGGCAGAATTGGAGTGGGAAAGGGGCCTTGATCAGGCTGAGGGAGACACTGGTCAGCATGTTGGTGTAACATGTGCCTAAGAAAGGTTAGGATGGGAAGGTAGTCTATTAGTGGAGGCTTGGTATTGTCAGTAGGGAAATTACCTAGGAGAAAAGGACTTCCATACATTAACTCAAAGGGGCTGAGGAAAGTAGGGCTGCGGGTGAGCGCCAGGGGTAACAGTTCTGGCCAGGATTGCTGGAGCTCTAGAGAAAGTTTAGTAAGTTGTGTTTTGAGGAGCGCATTAGCTCTTTCAACCTTTCCAGAAGACTGAGGCCATAAAGAATGTGAGGATTCCACTGGATGTTTAGAGAGGATGCCACCTGTTGGGTGACTTTGGAGATGAAAGCAGGTCCATTGTCAGTTTGAAGTGACCTGGGTAAGCCAAACCTAGGAATAATTTCTTTAATAAGGACAGAGGCAACAGTGTCAGCAGTCTCCGACATTGTGGGATAGGCTTCAATCCATCCTGAAAAAGAAGGTATTTCAGCCGCTTACATCTGGACATGTGAGTGAAGTCTATCTGCCAGTCTTCCCTGGGCTATGTCCCCGTGCTTGGTGTGTGGGGAATGCAGCTGGTCGGAGACCACCCTGTGAGCAGGTAAGAGCACATGTGGGGCAGGCTTGGGTAATAGCTTTTAGTCGGGTAGTTAGGCTAGGGCAATGGATTAAAGGTTTAAGAAGGTGGGAGAGAGGCTTGTATCCAATGTGCAGCGCCTGGTGAACTTGGGGAAGAAAGCTGTCTGCTTGTATCTCAGGAAAAACAACTCGTCCTTCTAGGGACCACCATCCCTGTGATTCCTGGGAGGCTCCCTGGTGGGTAAGTTCCTCGAGCTCCTGTCGGGTATAAGAGGGTTGTATTGAAGGCAATACCAGAAACAAGGGAACTGGACGTTGTTCCTGAAGTTATCTCTGCGCTGCTAGCTTTGCCTCCCGATCTGCTTTTGAATTGCTGACTGTAATGGCATCCAATCCCTTCTGGTGTCCCCTGCAGTCTGGTGTCCCCTGCAGTGAATGGGGCTACCTGTTGGGGAAGGGAAGCAGCTTCTAAAAGCTTAAGAATAAGTGAGGCGTTAGTAATGGGAGTCCCTTTGGTGGTCAGGAAGCCACGCTCCTTCCAGATTGCTGCATGCGAATGGAGAATATGGTAGGTATATTTTGAGTCTGTATAAATATTAATCTTCTGTCCCTTGGCTAAAATTAAGGCCCTAGTTAAAGCTATAAGTTCTGCCTTTTATGAGGTAGTGCTAGGGGACAGAGGGCTGCTTTCAAGAATGGTACAGTTATTAACAATGGCATAGCCCACAACTCAGCTTCCTGAAGAGGTAGATGTGGAACTGCCATCGATGTACCAGGTGTCTTCTGGGTCAGGAAGAGGAGTTTCCGAGAGGCAGCATTTATGGTAGCTTTTTAAAAAGAGGTTGCCAAGTAAGAACCATACCATGGTATTCAGGTAAGGGGTAGGTTTATTCTGTAGACCTGCTGGGACCAGGCCAGGTTGGCACTCCATGCAGCTGGCAAAGAGGGCGTTGGCCCTGGGCTAGGCCTTATCTAGGGTAGGGGCAGGGAAAGGTGTGGCCAGATAAAAGGAGGTGGGACCAGATGGGAGAAAGGTGTTGCCACATCAGATCCAGATGTGACCTCAGCAGATGCGGATGTGACCTCTTCCAGGTGTGCCAGTTGCCTAGGTAGCACAGGTACTGGGTGGGGTCTGCTCGCCATCCAGGAGTGGACCTTACAGTTACCAAGATGAATGTTACTGGCTCACAAAGGAGTCACAGTTGTCCCTCGATAGTCTCTAGAGTTTTGGCTCCTCGACTCCCCCTCCCTGCATGATTGTCCAAATTCAGGGACCTGGGACGCTTGCATAAAATGTCACAGTAGATAAACGTTCATCCATACACTTTAAATCGTCTAGATTATTTATAATAGCCAATGCAACAGCAGTACAGTGTCAGCGCTGTGTAGACAAATGTCACAGCTATGTTCACAGAGCAGCATTCTGTGCAAAGGAAGAAGGTCCACGTGTTTGGTATAAATGATTGTGATGGTATTAGGGTTTGAATTGAGGATTTCAGGTTTCTTAGGCAGACCTATAGCTTCAGCCATGCCTCCAGCTTTTTTGGATATGATAAATTCACAATTAGTGGAATCCATGACTTTGGAACCCAATAGTTGGGGCACTTCCTCTTAAATATTTTATATGTGTGTGTGTGTGTGTGTGTGCACGTGCGTGCATACATGTGCATGTGTGCATGGGTTACGCACTAGTACTGGGCTTGAACTCAGCTTTGTGTTCTTTGCTTCTTCACTCAAGGCTGACACTCATCACTTGAGCCACGCTTCCCATTCCAGCTTTTTGCTGGTTAATTGGAAACAAGAATCTCTTAGATTTGTCTGTCGGGGTTGACTTCAAATCTTGACCGTCCTGAGTAGCTAGGTGTCCAAGTGTCTGCAATATAGCCATTTTGGAAACCTTGCAAATCATCTTTGCTTCTTCATCCTGCCAGGAGGGCATCTGCTCTGGCCCCCTCTCCTCCCTGGTGTCCACTGCCTTTCACGTATGTGCATGGTGAACCACACTGCTCCTTGAGGATGTCCCCTCTTGCCACCTCCCTTCTTCATTCCCTGCCTTTTGTCTGTCAGTATCTTAGGTCTCCTGCCTCTGCATCTTCTCTGCCGTCTCTGCATTGCTGTGTTGCTCACTGGAGCCTCTTTTGGCTTTTCTTCGCCTTCCTTAGCCCCAGCCATTCCGGCTTGTGGCCTCTCACCTCCATCCTGTTGCCTTCTGTATTGCCAGATCCCTTGTCACTTTTCTGCCCAGGTTTAATCAGTTAACTTCTCAATCAAATTCTACCTTCTCTCCCTCTATAAGCTTTAATGGTGCTCTTGATTTTCCTCTCCTCTGTGGCTGGTAGACCTCCATTCCTTTTCAGGCAAGTCTTGCGTCTCTATCAGGAAAACCATGACCTGGTCTAGGATCTCTGCTTTCTCCCGGAGAGCCATCAGCATACTTTCTACCTATTCGCTTTCTGGAGAAGTTGTATTTTTCTTTGAGCAGTGAGCCTCTCTTCTGAGCTCTGGGCTTGCATAGTTACCTGCCTTTTGGGCACCTTCACATGCATGTCTTCTTGAATTCCACTTGACCCCTCCACATACCCCATTCTTAACCTGGCTCCTCTGTTCACCCAGCATCCCCCGCAGAGAACGCTTACCTGAGTCAAGTTGCTAGTTACTGCCTTTTCCATCTCCCCATGGTGTTTAGAATCCTTGACCCTCTTTCCAACTGCATCCAGCTGCCTCGCTCTGGCTAGAGGTGTGTGGCTCAGCAGTAGAGTCCCTGCCTAACACATGTGAGATCCTGAATTCAAAACACCAGGACCACTCAGGATAACACAGTCTGCTCCCAGCCACCTCCGCTGTCTCATCCCTGCGCATTTTTCACACTGGCAGTGTGTGCCCTTATTGTTTCA